GCAACTGACTATGAGGTCACTTTGATATTAAAAAAAAAAATGCTGTACCGCAAAAAGATGACATGTCGCAAAAAAAATTTTTAAATAATTGAAAACTTGTATCATAAGTAATTAAACTAACAGGGCAGAGATCAGTATTGTTAAATAGGTTTTAAAAGGATTGATTCAAGAAATTTTTTTAAAAAAATAAATATCTTGGGTTTCATTATCAAAATTTTATGTGCTACAATAATTTTGAACTAGCACAATAATTAAAAAATTATGTTGTATTAAAATTATATATAAATTTACATTTCTGTAGCATAGGAAAAAATAAAATGTACTGAAAGCAAACCAATGCTTTAAAAAAAAGTTTTTGCAAGATTTTATTCTAGGTTATAAGCATCGTTTCTCAAAAATTCGAAAATTTTATTGTGATTATCGTTATCACATGATAATTTTAAATTGCACTTTTCTTACGATCATATAATTTTCACATCGCCACCTTTTGCTATGGAACCCATATATAGTTTTGATTTACTTAGCTGAGCTGACAGATAGCCCAAATGCGACATTATGCAATCATAGTGTTCTACCAAAATCAAGAAGCAACCAATCTTTCTCATCTCTAGACAGAAGATTACTATTTCATGGTATTTTCAAACCTCATATTAGTTAGCCAGCTTATAAAGGTAGGAAATCACTAACTGATGCTACATATCACTTAGTATTACATATAAAATATAATATTTTATTAATTTTTGTTGCATTAAAATTATATAGAAATTTCTATGTGCATTTTTAAATTTTAAAAATATCTACATTACATTATGTGACATTATGTTTTGCATTATGTAATGCACATAATGCTGAATGCCCATCTCCTATTTAGGGAAGTAAAATATATAAATGTCATGTGTTGGGCCAAATAAGGCCATGCATTTAGAGAAGCCATTTATAGACTATGAATTTAGGGTATTATAATAATTGTATAATTGTCAAATATTTGCAAATTTTTATTCTTTACAACTCTTCTATCCGATGTTGAATCTTTTCTCTTCTATAGCTCAAAGTTAATTTTTCTTTTTGCATTACATGGAATCTGAAAATTGGGTCGGAGTTTTTTTAAACTAATTGGATCTCTTTATCTTTGAATACTCAAAACTTTGATAAAATATTATTAACATAATTCTTCATAATACGTTCCAAGAATTTAGTTAAAATAGAAGGAATCTAAACCTTTTTATTAGAGTACTTATTTTAATGCTATATGAATACACTAAAGCCAGATTGGTAAATACAGTAATATATCAATTTCTTATATATGGGTGTTCCCAATTAAAATGGCCCATTTTTACAATTTTTCGAAAATGAGCTTTTATTAGATTCATGTAAATTTGACATGATTGACATTTTTCAATTATAAATGAAAGTCGATTTACTTAATGAAAAATAGAAATAATGTAAAAGAAAAATTATACGAGGCAAAAATTCAGTAAATATCAATACTGGTCGTTGTACACAAGCTTATCTATTAAAATAAGTTTCCGAAATTTTAAATCAATAGTTATCAAAAATGTTAATTTATATGTATTTATTTTTAGTTTTTTAACATCAAGCAAATGGTGGATTAATCTGACCACAAGCTTTTATTGTTATATTGAAAAAAATTTTAACTTGAATGTAGAGTACAGTGCGGTCCTTTCTATCATTAAAGTCTGCAATATGATATTCTCTAGTTGGACAGTTTTTCAATCTTTCACAAATATGGTCAATAAATCCTTCTGAAGAATTTCCATAGAAATATTCAGCAGTGAACTCATCGCCTTCAGCAATGTTAAAATTTGTAGTCACTGTCCCATTAATGTCGAAACGTTCTTCACCAGGAGTAACCGTTATATCTGCTGTTGCAAAAGGCGGTGCGTCTGAACATGGAATTACTTGATTTTCTCTTTTGTTCAATTGATATGGAATAGCATTGATTATAGAAAGTGTAGCAAAGAAAATGAACAACAAGATAGAGTATCGGAACATGATTATAATTCTTTATAAGTTATCAAAAAAATTTTTTTGTTGTAAAGAAATTTTAAGTAATTTTAGTTTTTGTTTTATTTGCTTTTTGTAAAATTAAAAATTAAATCGTTGGCTTTTATAAAAAAACACCCGTTTCTTATGTGTGAAACGATTTTCCGTCGGAAAAATTTTTAAACTATAAGCATTAATTATCATTGAGGCCTACTAGTTAATCATTAACATCTCGGTCGATAGTGAACATCTTTGTAGGCTATAAAAACTGCGATTACAACTGTTTTCAAAAAGAAGTAAATTATGGTTAGAGCGGTATGGTAATCTGAAACGGCTGTAGAATAAATTTTGCTTTATTAGTTACAATAATTAGCGCCATATCTACATTAGCTACGACTAGCTTTATTGACGTAGGGTACTACAGTATTAGTATCATAGATATTTCACTAAGTTTCGGTTGCTTGAGCTGCCGACGCATCAAATATACAGTTTGTTCTTATATTCAATTACTGTATAAATACGTATATAACTATTATTTGCTCTCTCACTATAAAAATTACCATTATTTCTATTCATTAATAAAATTACGACCTGAAACTAAACACAGCGATAAAGTTCATAAGTAGAGATGAGAATCGATTCTAAAAACCACAATCGATAGTCGATTTCCTGAGCTTATTAAATACTAATCAACAAAATTTTGAAAAATTCAGATTACCGAACCTATTTAGAATTTTACTATAATTGGTTGACTTATACCAGGAACGGAGTGGTATGTAAATATCACCAAGTATGTCCACATAGCAAAGTCTTTAATTTCTAAGGCTTTCTTGAAAAAGCATTTTACTTGTTCGGATGATTTCAAGTTAATTAACTTTTAAATTAGTAAAATCATAAGGCATTATAAAACTATATTGAATTTAAACCATCGGTAACTTACCAAA